TTGCAAAATAAATGTTAAACATATTAACATATTACTATTATATATTTATTATTTTATATATATTATATTATTATTTATTACTATCATATTACTATAACATACTCAACAATAGTTTCAGTGCACCTACTGAAAAAAGAAACGTGGCTTTTTCTTCAGTTTCTGCTACCTCATGGGCATTTTTATCACACCTTAATTACTGGGGCTCTGTGGGATTGGTCTGAACTGAGACAAAAGCTAAAAGTGAAGATACTGCCACAACGGTGTGCTAAGAACAGAGTACACATTCAGTATGTATACAAATATTACATCTGTATATTTGTGTAAGGAAGCCAAAACTATTGGGTTTGTTTGTGTCAAACCAAGCAGTTTACATCTATGTTTAATTTTAGTCCCATTTCAGTAGGTTACCTTGTGCCATTTGATTTTTTGCTTTACCCTTTTTTACCTTAAACTTCTTCGGAATATCTCTTGCTGTGAGTAGTCTTTCTCTTTGTAAAAACTTTCAGTAGTTTTGGTTTTGTTTTTCAACATAGAATATCTGCTGCAGGGAAATACAAAATAGGAAAGATTTATTAATAGGAAATTTAAAGGGATCATGAATATCTGACAGAAATGTCTAAATTTTCCCTGTAAGAGAAAAGGCATTATATCTTTCTATTGATATTTCTATGTATTTTTATATTTTTCTCTTTAGAATTGCATGCAGTAGCTGAGATTGGGGTTTTCCCCCCATTAATATGAAACCTGAATAATTCCATGGTCACTTTGTATTGCATAACTTTGTATAGGCACTTATATTGTATTTTGTTATCATCTCCTTATTGCTTTGTCTATTTTTGAAATGACCTTTCCTGAAGGCTGTGTTTAGTTTGCCAATAAATGTTCTTGTACAATTAGTACAATTTGGCAAAGTCTGGTACATATCTCTCTGGAGATTATAACCACAGAATTTTCAGTTCTATTTCATGTACAACTTCTTATCCATCCATTCCTCCTACCCTGCCTAGCTGACCATCTGCAACATTTGAGTTCACCTGGATTCTTGTTGTTTTGGAGATGGTTCAGATTTCTGCTTAAACCAGGATTTCTTCTGGCATCTTGTGTTGAATATAAAAAAAATGTACACTTACAAGCCAGTTTTTATGGTGAATTAGTTCATGATGTAGGCAGAACTGATTTCTAGTAGTAATAATGGTAGACGGTACTGGAAGCCATCTGGTTTTAGAGGCTCACATGAATCTTTTCAGGTCGCTGAGCTGGATGCTCCTCATTACCATCCTGCTCGGAGATCTTTCCTTGGGTGATCATGTAAAAATCATGGCCAATTGCACCGAAGCTGTTCATGGCAGAGATGTGTCAGCAAGCCTTCAAGCCCGGAAGGTGCATGCTTGAATCTCCCATAGTTTGCATCCGCAGTTTCTTCTGCCTTCAGTAATTCACAGTGTGTTTTGCTCTCCTTTCAGAGGCCTGTGCATCTCCAGAGCATCTCCTTTTCCTGTGGTGACCTTTTATAAGTGCAGACAACTGAAATTTTGAATGTTTATTTAAACCAAAGTGTTTATGTATAACTTCAGGTGAAACTAATGCTGTTGGTTTGAATGAACAAAATGTTTCACCGGATTGGAATTGAAATAGGAAAGAATTCTTATTTTCCCCCTGAGCCTCAGAAATGAAATGGCCTTTTAAGGTGGCATTCAGATAAGAAGGAGCAAGGCTTGAGGAGTAAAATGAAACTCATTGTGGTCAAAGTAAGGTCAGTTCCCTTACAAAGACTGCATTGTTTGTATGGAGAGGCCTTGTGTTCTGCTGCAATAGCTCTATTAAAATTACCTTCTATTACACTTACATCTACATAAAAGCACAAATGCCTCGAGGTGCATCTAATCCTTTATAACAGACTGTAGTAATTATTAGTCATGAGTGTCTAGGAATGAGTTGTGAGACCTACTGATGACAGCTGCAACTTTGTGATGGGTGGCATTTGTACCACCTGAATAGCTCCTACCTGGCACCATGACTCTTTGATGACTCTTAGGTCTCCAGTTCCAGAGCTTTTGCTTGGCTGTCACAGGTGTGTCAGAGATGGGATGATGGCCAGAAACCCTGCTTTGCCAACACTTGTGATGCTTGGTTTCAGTACTTTTATGAGTACTTGGGAAATACCCCTTGTTAAGTTATTACACCTTTGACTGACAGGTAATGACTGCTACAAATAACAGGGCCTGGTTTATCTATTTCAGTGAATAAAAAGTTAAATGCTTCTTACAAGTTCAGAGTTCTTTCTTACCTCATATGTATATTATGAGGTTATCAAGACACAACATATTTGAGAATGTATGTGCACGTAGGTGTGTGTACTTAAGAAATGGTATGATTTTAATGGCCACTATATTTATAATAACTGAAATATTTTTTGCATAACCTAAGCTATATATATACATTAATTGTCTAGTCTGAAGGGAAAAATATGATGAGCAGATCTTTGCCAAGCTTAATCATGAGTTTTCAGCAAAGTTTTTTTGTTCATTTGTGAAAGTCTACATCGGTTTATTTGTTTTTTTCACATCACCTACAGTGAAACTTTTTTTCTTCAGGGCATGTTTTGGCTCCAATATGGAATTTCTTGTTAAAACAAGTGATCCAAAAAGATACACTCAGGCATCATTGTTTGCTTACTGCTTACAACCCTCAGCTGGGAGACCAAATTCTGGGGCTCAAGTTTTTGAAATAGGCAAAGCAGCAACTACAGCCTCCTGTTTCCTGTCCTATGTGATCACTGATAGGATCTTCCTTCTTGATAAAAAATGTTGTAGTTAGTTTGCTTTTCTAAAATAAGCACTTTCCTAGTAGTACATGTAGTACCATGATTTTAGATTAATATGGAAGAGATATATTTGTGGTTTAGGACATTAAATTATAATGAGAAAGTGGACTTGGAATAAATTATCCATGAAACATAAGAGTTATAAAAATGCTCCTGATGTTGTAGAAGTTCATTGCAATGTGAAGAATCCCTTTTCATATGTTAAGGTGCTGTATTACCCCAACCCACGCTCTCCACCTAGCAGTGAGTGGTGCGCCTGCAGCACCAGCTGGCACAGATAAAGAGACCTTGTAAGATTTAGGCTGTGCCCTTGGTATGACAGTGAAAATTTTCAACTCTCCAGAACACATGGATGACAAGGTGAGATATTCTGTTAAGCAGTATGGAGATTGTTGTTTAGCTTCTTTTTCATGTGAACTACATTGGAAACTGTTGCTGTCAAGAAAAAGATGCCAAATCTTTTAATTTTAGTCTGTAAGGAATATCTATAAAGGTTTGGTCCAGACAGGAGCTTGAGGGTGCTTTGAGGAATTCAGTCATCTCTTGGTAGAAGTCTAGTCAGTACTGGCAGTACAACTAACGTCTATCCATGATAAAATTAGGAAGAAAAATAAGTGAGTATGTTAGGAGTGCTTCTTTGTCCTTTGCAGGCTATAAATACTGAACCCATAGTATCTTCCTCCAAAGTTCCTGTGAAACTATTTGTAAATGACAGACTAGATGGTAACACAAAATCATCTGTGTAATGTATTACCCAAAAACACCTTTCTCTTCAAACTGTAGGGATAAATGTGAGTAAATCCTGGTCCTACTAGATTACAATTTAAGTTTTGCTATTGAAACTGGTTCAAGTCCTACCATGTGAGATCATGGCATCCTATGGGTGAGAAGTTTGGAGGGATTCAACTTTGCAAGTCTCAGTGATTTCAGGACTTTCCAGTACTTCTGGGAAGTGTTTTTCCACTGTCTTATGTTTGCTTTTCTCCATTCACGTTTTTTTTTACTCAATATTGTCTCCTGGCCTTTTCAAACCCTCTGCATCCCTACTAGTCTCCTTTATTCTGTGTTTCAAAAGATGATTCTTCTTATTGACATGCTTCAGCCGCAGGCACTCTCTGTGGCTCTAATAGTCCAGTGTTTTCCTTCTGAATTCAATGCCAGACAGATTACTAAAAGCTGATGCCTACCAGTGAAATACCTCTGCTTGATAATGTCTAGTAGGTGTTCTTTTTTTGTAAGTAGTATATTTCTTTTAACACTTCTTTGTGTTATCGTTCTTTTAACAGATTTAACAGAGTTGGAATATTTATTACTATTGTCCCTGGATGTGCAGGTCAGACAGAACCACATGAGAACCTCAGGTTCCCCATTCATACTTAAATATGGCAAAATTAAAGCTGATCATTTGGTTCAGCAGTGTATTTCTGAAAGGGGGGAAAAAAGAAATATTTGGTTTTTTTCAGTAATAAGAAAGAACTCTGAGGGACAAATTTGCTGTTTTGTAACTGGCATGAACACGAAATTCAAGATCCCGTCTTTGCTAGTATGTAACTTAAGATTTTTAATGAGGAAATTGTGAAATTGTTTAGCAATGACATTATGATTTTGTGTTCCTTTAGAAATGAGATTTAATGAGATTTTTTTCATTTGTGTCATTAAAATTTCTGGGGTTTTGTTCTAAAAGTTTGAGCATTTATATTTAAAAAAAAAAAACAGTGAAACTTCTAAAGGCAACCAAGACTTCAAATAAAAGCACTAAAGCTCTCCCAGAAAAATTGAAGTGCTTTTCAAAAGGATGGCATTTTTAGCAATGGTGGTGTTGCACTTGACTTGCAGAGCCTGCGCAGCTGCTGGCTGTGCCCCTGTGATTGGTGGCAAGTGACACCACTGCAGCCTGTGCCTGCTCTGAGTTTGGGCAGTACCTGCCTGTGTTTCTCAGATGCCTCTTTTGTGCAGCAATGTTATGGAATACTAACAATCAACAGTGCCTAATTAGCTCATTTTGCTTTGAACTGAGGTTCTTGTCAGCTTTGATTGACACTCTTAATTGTGACTCTCTTGAGCTCTGTTCTTAAAAATGTTTGCACACATTTGATTTAGCTGACTTATTCTTACCATGTTTATATACTAATCTGTGTATTTGTATTATGGGTTGTTTTTTTTCTTGCTCCCCTAGAAGCTGTGTCAGGTTGTCCCTGAGCTGGTCTCTGAAATGATGTTAACTGCTGAAGGGTTTATTGACACCTGTCTGTTAGCCAGGAAGTTCATCACCTCGTAATCCCTCTGCAGGGAGCTGCTCCCTGAACAGCTGAAGGTTCTTTGGGCTTCTGGATTTGACACATATCCATTAACACACACTCCTCCATAACAGTGCAGCTGAATTGTATAATAGTATATTATTGTATAATAGGAGGGACTTATGCATATTGTCTTACTGTCTTAAAGACACTTTAAATTACATGTCCATCCTTAATAAATTGTCAGACATGAATTTGGAAAAAAGTGCCCTTTCTTCTTACCTTTGGATGTTTGTAATGTGTTAATTTTGTATTAAATAACAGTACATCACCACTTCATACCTGGGATGACTGACTACATTGTGCTGCTGTGTAATACCCATGTAAATACCTATCTTTTGGAGAAGAAAATAACAGAGTAGAAATTACTTTGAAAAATAGCATATTGTAATTGAATGAAGATATCTTTAAACTTTCCCCAGTAAAAACACTGGCAACTGTTTGAAAAAAAAGGGGTGGAAAAGCATTTCCAAATAATTTAATTATTATACTAGAAAGAATCTGTGTTCAGAAATATTACCTTAAAAATGCAAACCCTAGAAACTCTGATCTCTTCCATGTATGTATGCTGTTTTGATCATCTCCAGCTGTATAATTTTTCACAAGATATTCCTAATATTCATTTTTATCAATGGAATAAAAACTTGAAGAACCCTTCAACCTTAAGCCATAAACTCAAATAGCAGGCAGAGCCTTTATGAAATAAGAAACAACTTGATTTTCCTGCCTGCATAATTTTGAAATTATGTCTAAATATTCTGAAGATTTCCTGACACATTCTTGCAATTTTCTAGAGATAATGAAATTAAACCATGCATATCTAAAGATAATTAATACTGTTTGCTTCACTAGAACAAGGATTCCTTAAGTCTAATGATTACTTTGTCCCAGAGGCGTGTTCTGAATTGAAAAAAGTAATTTATAGCATTGGTTGCCACTTCATTATTAATTATAGTTACAATAATAATATTAACATTAATGTTTGAAGCAAAATCTGGAATGTTCTTTGTTTACTTTTTAATTCTCATTTGGTTTGCTTTTAATGGAAATGGGAGAAATCAAGTATCTCTGAGAAAAAATTCTGGGCTTCTGCACAAAATATCCAGCAGTTCTGAGAGTATTGCCCCAGTGTTGGGACTTTCAGAACTCTAAATATACCTTTGGGGCACGAGGATCCTAGCCTATGGAAACTGCTGCAGAAGGGTTATCAAGGCTTTCCTTGTTGTGAAGGGACTTCTGGTCCTGCCATACCATGGCAAATAAAGTCCTTGTACACTGGAAAAGCCACAAACCAGGCTGGTGTTGAGATGTATATCCTGCTCTTTAACACCCTTTCAGACAGAAAAACAACAAATTTTGGAAACAAACAAACAAAAGAAAAAAACTTCCCTAAATCTAACCAAAATCTTATTAAACACATTTTATTCCTAAATTTCCTGGTTTCATTATGAACTCTGTTTAACTTCTTTGCCCAGATGTACCATTTCTAAAACGTGGAGACTCTTTTTCAGTACAGATAACTGGCATCTTTATTACCTCAGAAATTTTTTTCTTACTGATCATGAACTTGAGTTTGAAAATTTAGTTTTCTTGAGTTTGAAAATTACTTTTTTTAAGTTATTCTTTGTGATGTATTTAGTGCATTTGATTCACACTTACAGAGTTACCACTGTCATGGTAGAGGACAGAGGCATGGCATCTGACAACTTAAAATGGTATATTTTAAGCTGTGAATTTGCTTCCAGTTCTGTTTTTGTTTTGGATTTTTTTGTTTGGTTGGTTTTTTTGCAGGGGGGGGTGTCTTTCTTTTTTTTGAGGGTGTGGGAAATTGATAATACTAATAGGCTATATTTATATTGAACTCCTAGGTGTAGCTGCTGAATGTGTTTTCAAACTTTACCCAGTTGGTAGCCAGTTAAGAATAGGGAACCAAATTCTGGAATACTGAAAATTAAATGGATATACAGATATATCTATATTTCAGCCTTTCATATTTTTTAGTCGATCTCTAAGGCTGACTGAAAGCCACTGAAAGACTGTGACTAAAAATGTCTTGTTTCACTCTGTGTAAAATTGTTTTCTTCACAAACATTTCCATTTAGCTTTATTTCATGTGCTAACATGACTAGTTAAAATGTTTTTGTAGAGCTGTTATCACTGGGAACTTCATACTATCAATTCAGTTTTGGTAATTGCAGGGTCCCTGAAACAAGGAGACAAGAACAGACCTGAAGATTGGGTAAAATATGTTTCTGGTGTTTTGCCTTTGAATAAAAACAGAATCCTAAAAAAAATTATTTAATATTTTTGTGATACATTGTTTACCCTCCTTTTCCATGTGTTTATATGAGCCTTAAGAGTTCAATTTGCATAAAATAGTGACAGATGATATCCCAATTTTCACAAGCCTGATCAGTGACCTGTTTCCAGCTCTGGATGTTCTGAGGACGAGGAACCTACAGTTTGAGCAGATGGTTAAACAATCTACCCTGGAGCTGTACTTGCAGCCAGAAGAGAACTTTATTCTCAAAGTAAAATAATTTGTTGTCTTTAATTATTCTCCTTAAGATTTTTGATCAAAATAATTGCCAGTGGGTTAGTTGTATTAGACAGGAAGATTATTTTTGAATATATTAAAGCACTGATAAATTGTCTCTCAATGAGTCAGTATTTCAAAGGCATTTCATTGTGGCAGTAATGTTCCTCAGTATGATAAATATGTCCATATGGAAACATGTGTCCTGTTCAGAAAAGCTGTGTACAGTGGCAATCTAGAGTGACAAAAATGTTCGTGCACAGTAAGAAAAATTTGTATTTGGCAGCAAATTCATTGTTGGTCAGATATTTCTAGTCAGGTAGAAGAGCAAGGGAAAAAAAACATAAATAAAAAGGTGTGTATTTGGAATGTACATGACTACATGTGACTTTTTTGTGTTCTGGCTTTTAGGTATAGTATCATGCATGTTGTGTTATACACATTAAATGTATGCATGTATACTCACAAGAATTAGTTGCCCATAAGCTAAATTTAAGCACTAAATTAGTTTAATTACAGACAGGATGAAAAAATGAAACATAGAAACACTGGTTAGTACACAGACCAAATAAAAATAGCATACATCCCCACCTTTCTTCAATGAACATCCACATCTGCTGTGTGTGACAGCACACCCCTTACCTTTATTGGGGTATGTTGGAAATAACAAGGCTGGTTGAATGTGACTGATCAGAAGATTTATAAAGGATTTTGTGGTCTTCTCTCTCTTATTCCATTATGCTGACAGAAGGGTGAAAAACTAAAAGGTATGCCTTGGGGTAATGTGAACTTTGCAATCAGCCTTCTACAGAGTGCTTTGTTTCCTTCCAACTGGGTAAATCAGAAAACAAACACTAAGCATCATGAAAATGTTCCTGTTAGGCTTTGGAAAATCAGACAGAATATTCTTCACCAAAACAGAAATCCACAAGCAGCCAAACTATTTCTATTCTGTGACTCATAAAGGAGACTGACTTTGTATTTTTCTGAGTTACAGCTGTACAACTGATTGTGGAATCCGATCTGCTAAAGCAGTGGCAAAATTGTGATAACTGTTCTGTGTACTTGGGTTTTCACAGTCCTGCTGGACTGTGTGGCAGTCTGGCAGAATAGGATTTGTTTTCACTTGGTGAGGTAACTGCTTTAACTCCTTTCCACTAACTCTCTTATCATTTTCTGAGAGACTGTGTTGCTTGATGCAGCATTAGCTTTGCTGAGGCAAATCTGCCAAGAAAGTACAAGCTTATTTTTTCCTATTAAAGGGAATAAGAATGTGGAGGGTGAAAAAAATCTTGTGAATAATTATCTCTGTGATAAGACCTACAGCAGGAGAGGAAAGGTGCTCATTGTGTGTCCCTCCTGCATGGTAGGATGCTCAGCTAGAGGAGCAGCCAGCAGTGTGTCCCTCAGTGTTTGTGGTTGGAATTGCAGGGAACGGAAAGGGCAAGGTACCTGCCTGCCTGTGTAGCATGTTTTCCATCTCTCATTGTAAAGAAACTGCCACAGCTCTCACATAAAAAATTCTTCATGTTGCCTTTGCCTGAGGCTGCAGGGTAATGACACTCTGCTGAGGGCACTCGGTCAGCCATATGATGAGCAATAGAAAGCTCAAATGTTGCAAGCAAATTCTACATTTTATGTGTTGTTTGCATGTCCCAAAGGACAGTTAATCATGGCATGAAGTAATGAACATTCAATTTGACAGATAGACTAAGTAATACTTTGTTCTGGAAGGAGAAGCAGGATGTTTTAATTAGGCTTCTAGACAGACATAATGGAATTTCTTGCCAAAACACTAGACAAATAATTCTAATACATAATGCTTGCCTATTTCTGCTACTAACTGTTGGCAGCTGCATAGATTTTCTTCTCCATTTAACACTTTCTATTAGAATTTAGTGCAGAATACAGCTATTTCAGACTGGGACTCTCCTTTCCTATCCTTAGGCTTAATGGAAATTTGGGACTAAACTAGCACAGAGACAAGAGTAAATTAATATAAAACTGTCAGCTGAGTGAAGGGATTCAGTCAGGGATCCAGTTCAGGAAAAAGTCCAAAATTCCTACTATGTGAAAATGGTGAAATTAGTGTCACTAACATTCACTCTGTTCCTTCTCTTCAGGTTCTGAAAGTTCATCATCACATGTATGTGGACACAAAAGAAATGCCCATTTGGAATGAAGTTAATGCAGAAGTTCTGACAGCTGATAAACTGTGTGGCTTTATACCCCAGGAAACCTGAAAGTGGAAAGCTGGCAAGAAACAGATGTGCTCTTGCTAGGATATCATTCTCCATCCAAAATGGACAATACAAACATGTAAGAGACAGAATTCTTCCATTTTTCTGAGGTTATGATGTAACGAGTGGTGAGTGCAGAGCACTGGTGGCTCTGGAAAGGCTGGAGGGCAGGATGCTGGTAGACAGGAAGTATTTACCTGAACAGTGCTGATCCAGCTGCCTTGAAGGGCCTGTTATTTCCTCCCCAGACCCATGGTACCTCCCTTATCTCACCCATATCATTAAGACTAATGAGCAACTCTCTTGTAATAAAAACAGAAATAGGTCATTATTACATAAAATGCAATATATTTTTTTCTGTATTTAATTTTGCTGTATTGAGTGTTCACTGAATTTTTTGTTATTTTAAATAGCCACTTAATAAGCAAAGAAAACATGGGTTTGATGTTACAAAAGTTTCTTGTTTCAGTGATGTGTCATCTTCTGAAGTTTTAATTGCAGTGCAATGTTGTTGAAGCACTTAAGTGATAAGATTCTATTGAAATATAATTTTCAGTTCACCTATCATCTTCTCTGAGTGGACAAGCCAGAATTACCCATGAGGGGCCAGAAAGGTTTGTTTTAAATAGGGATACAGATTCTGTGTGCTATGAATGCTAACAAGGTGAGCCGTTGAGACACAGTTACACTGGCTCCCTCTCTACCTGTTTTCCCATTTTCTTCTTCCTCTATTTTCTGGTGACAGTTTTGCAGTGTGCATTCCCTTTTTCTTTTATTCTTATAATTTCTTTGCTTTTCACTATTGCTAAGTAATATTTTAGTAGCTAATTAATGCTTTTATGTCTTGCCTATTTGGCACCGCAAAAAGCCTTAAGTTAGCCTATGAATACTGTAATGCTTATTGTGCCTCCTAGATGTGAGCTGATGTAATTCAAGATATCAATGATAAGATTATTGAAACTGGTATTTGGAAAGTCTCTCAGTAAAATACATTTAAGATTGACGTCCTTGAATCACTGTACTATGGAAGGCTAGTGTAGAAAACCTGAATCAGTCAGTCTAAGTGCAGTAGGATACAGACTTCTTCTTTCCTTCTTATTAATTATACTACTAAACCAATTTTGTGGGCCCTCTGAAATGCTGTAATGTAACAAAATCCAAATCTGAGATCTGAGTGTAACACTTGGAAAGGGATTGGAGTTTTATGCTTTCCTATCTTACAAACTTAAGCCCTAATAACCCTCTGGTTACTCAGCAAGGTGCCTGGTGGAGTGAGCCATATAAACCAACTTTATCTGAGAAACAAAAAGTGGCTTTTTCAATAAAAATTTTTGAGCACCTAAATTTAGAGTCCTGCTCTGAATCATCTTCTAATTATTTCCATTGACCTTGAGGAAGATTTTTCCCTCCTCTGCATTTACTTGCTTTCAGGAGAACTCACATCAGCAAAGCAGGCTCGTCACCCTTTGAATTAATTTAACTCTAACAAGCTCATACAAGGTCAAGTAAAATCTTTTGAATTTGTCGTCCCCTGTGATTCTGGTAAAAAACTCTAGGCTTGTTCAAACAGTGTTTGTTTAACTTGCTCAAGGAATAGTGTATGCATTGTGTTGCAGATAATCCTCTGTGGGACTGTAATAAACATGATTGTGCTGACCACGTTCTTGTTAAACAATACATCTTAACTTCGTTTTTCTGAAAAGTTTACTGATGATTTCTAGGTTCTGACCCTTACAAGCAATGCATGTGTGCCTATGACTCTGCCAATGTGGCTGCTGTTTGAGGTACATGTCTAAGAGCTGCTGCCCCAGCTACAATATCCAGAGCTGGTATTCATCTCCCGAGACCCCAGGACCTGGAATAGAACCTGCAAGCATCTGATAATATTGGCTGGCATTTTTAACATCCAATTTGAAGATTAATTGGTATAAACTCCATTATTTATACTAGGTCTTCCTTCTAATTTTTATTCTGGTAATTTATTATTTATTTGGTGGCCACATATATCCTCAAATAGGCATTTCAGAGAATTTTGCCATCAGTTAAGTGGGGTATTTTCCTCTGTGTCCTGCTTAATCAGAGCAGTAGTGTGGAGGGCTGATCCTGGTTGAATGCCAGGTTCCCACCAAGCCACTGTTACTCCCCCTCATCAGCTGGACAGAGAGAAAAATATGATTAAAGACTCTTGGGTTAAGATAAGGACAGGGAAATTAAATACTCAGCACTCTGTCATGGGCACAACAGACTCATCCTGGACAAATTCATTTTATTTATTACCAACCAAATCAGGGTAGGGTAGTGGGAAAAAAAACCCAACTCTTAAAAATACCTTCCTTCCACTCCTCCCTCTTTCCCAGATTTTTTTGGACCTTTTATCCTTAGTAAGAGAAATTCAGTCTCCAGGTCCATTTAAATCATTGAGAATTATGCCCGCTGCAACTTGTACACCACAAACTGAAGATTTAACCTTTTCCTATGGCCACATTTATACACAGATAATTTTTTTTTTTTTCCAACTAAATTAGCTTTACACAAACAAAGTGTATGAGATCTAGAGGAAGCAAATCACTTCATCACCTTTCCACTATGCTCTTGAACAACTTGCAGAGTTATATTTGTGGAAGACAAATTGTAGAAGGTATGATAGTAAGATACATACCTGTCAGTGGAAGAATAGAAAGCATGAGCTGTTAGTTGAGATTGCCTCAGTTTGAAAGTATGGTTATTTTTGCACTTTTTTTCAGTGTGTTCTGCATAGGATATTCTCAAGTGAGTCATGGTGTTATGGTTGCATTAACCTGTATTGTACAACTTTTTAATGCTTAGATGAGTAGGAATTTTCCTGGGGAGATTAGGAGTCTATGGATGTAGAAACATGGATCTGGTGATCAAAAGATATAATCCATTATAAACTCTCCTGTTGCCTTTGAGGGTTAATATATGATAGGAAAATACAGAGTTTAGAAATGAAGTAGTTATCAGGCAAGGAAGCTTTTAGGTGCTCACAGTAAATAAAGCTGTTTACTGCCAGCTGTTTGTCCAAATGGTTTTAGGTAAGGTGAAAGCCAGGCCACAAATTACATTGAAATAATTGAGAAATTAAACCACCTACATCTTTCATCAGACTTTGCTTTTCTTACAGTTATGGGGAGACTTGTGTTCTGTAAAGCCAGAGGTGGAACGAATGCGTTTCAGCTACAACCAGATTTCAAAAGCTTCCTGTTAGAAGAAGTTGAATAAAATTTTTCATAAAATATAAAAATACTAAATAAAAAGTAAAAATACTGCATAAAAAGTTATCCACTAAAAAAAAAATTTTAGTAGTTCTTTGAGAATTAAAGAATGGTGTATCCTGTTTCATCACTTTCTAGAATTTAGTCCTAGCCAGAGAGAGAAACAGAAATTACAGTTTCCTTTTAAGAGTAAACTGTAATGTATTTGATGGAATATTTTCCTTTTTAATGTTAGTCAATCTTTGTTCACACATTTTAGACTGTACATCTCCAGTAGTTTATTGATTTACTCGCAATAAAAGGCAAAGTAGTTTTGCTTGCTGGAAATGCTGGAGTAGGAAAAACAGTGTTTGTAGGCAATAGGCTTGGTGCTGTCTCTGAAGACGAGCTCCAGACCAACAATTCATTCTACTGCCACACAACACCAGCAGTGCTCCAGAGTAAGTTCCATGCAGATGTGAGAAACTTATCTTCCCTCAACAGCAGTGATAAAATATATTCCACAATGATTAGAGTCTTTTCACAACCATTGGCTACTGCTCTTGTCTGGGACTTTGCAAAGTTCATTTCTTTGCAAACTGGAAAACTTTGAAAGTTGTGCCAGGCGAGGGGAAAGGAGGAGGATGAAACTGCTTGATGCAAACTGGAACTGACTGTGCTCCCAAAAGCTGCTGTCTGATTGCAGATGAGAAAATTTGGAATTTCCTCTGTTCACCAGAAGGCTTGAGCCAGCTTCAGCATAGCCTGGGTGTCTCTGCATGGTGCCTGTAGATGTACTGAAACAGACAGTCAGAAGTTGAGTTTACTTTTGCTAGGTACCATAAAACATCCAAGGAGGGTTAATTCCTGTCTGGTGGAGTTTGGAGTCTCTGTAGATGAGATGGATGCAGATCAAGGGAAATGTTAATATAACACACAAACGGAGAGGGCTGTATGTATGTATGGACAAAAATATTATACTAGTGGTAGATTTTG